TTCAGCTACTGGACTCAAATCGTGACAACTGTGTTCTGGAATTGAGAATCCCAAAACCTACTTCCAAAATATTGTTATATAAAGATTGATTAGTTTTTTTCTTTCTTCACTAGTCCCCTTCTTCCCCTGGTGATCTGTGGGTGTACTTATGTTGTCAGACTCTTAGCCCTCTCTGATGTAGTATTTGCCTTTGATGAGTAAGAGCGATGCATCACAGCAGTTTGTACCCCATCAGATATTTATATTATAGATTTATTCACAGGAATAATGGTAGTGTGCTGTGTACTGTTTCACTAGAACTATGTTCCTCCTTGTAAAATAATGATATGATGCTTCAGCTACAATCACCGTTCCTGGCGCTTCTATTTTTAACAAATTCCATCTACAATTTATAAAATACTCATTGTACCTCATTGCCCTGATCTCTTTTTATCCCCACGCCTCGTCATTGACCCTGGCTCTCTTTTAAAGAGGGATTCTGTTAACACAGGAAAGCAGGATTGGACATATTTTCAGTGTCTAAAGACCATTTGAAGTTTTAATGTTTTACAGTATATTTGAAGCTGAACTCCGGGCTCAAAATGTTTCATTTAAATATATCCCTCAATGGCCACAAAGCATATACATTTACTTTGTGTGAGGGAAATGCCTCTAACAATCCTAATATTACCTTGTAAAAGTACCAGTGACATCATTACTGCGCTGTACATTGCCTGTGCAGAGAGCAGTGCTGTGGAAGGGACTCAGCAGGCCCCACCCACTACAGGAAACTACAGGAGGGGGGTGGAGACAAGACCAGTCACCCTGCACAAGGAGAGAGAGCAGCAGTGACCGGTCTTTACTACAGGAGGGGGTGGAAACAAGACCAGTCACCCTGCACAAGGAGAGCAGCAGTGACCGGTCTTTACTACAGGAGGATGCAGGCAAGACCAGTCTCCCTGCACTAGGAGAGAGAGCAGCAGTGAGCGGTCTTTATTACAGGAGGATGCGGGGAAGACCAGTCACCCTGCACAAGGAGAGAGCAGCAGTGACCGGTCTTTACTACAGGAGGGGGTGGAGACAAGACCAGCCACCCTGCACAAGGAGAGAGAGCAGCAGTGACCGGTCTGTATTACGGGAGGGGGTGGAAACAAGACCAGTCACCCTGCACAAGGAGAGATAGCAGCAGTGAGATACTGCTGGTTTGATATAGATAGCAGCACCCCAGCCCTTGAACATGGATTTCAACTGGCGCCTGAGCAAATTATGCAATGCAATCAAAGTAACACAAGTACATAACACTGTTTTCCTGCGTACTTTAACAGTAAAAAGAAAAATTACATTTCAATTGAGCTGCAAACTAACATAGAGAGGTTCTATAAAGGATGCTTATTGCCAGAAAAAAGGTTATTATAGGCTTCCCATACTAATATTTGGCACATGTCTAGGGCCCTTAAAAGGCTAACCAACATCTGCTTAAATATTAAATGACTTGCTTTAAGTGCTCTGGGATGAGCTGCTCATGATGGGCTGCCAGGCTGATCCACTGATCCAAATGAAGGCTATTTAATAACAGCAACTTTAATATATGTTATTGGAGATGGAAGATGGAGGTTAAAATCGTTCTTGCTTGTCTTTGGAAGGGACGGGCCAAATTTAATACAAATTGAGCCATCTTACTAGAAAGATTGTTCCTTTTTAGGTAAAAGAGCACTATAGAGTAAACTTTTTATCCCATAGTTCTCCTTAGGGTCGTATACTAACCTCCTCCTGTGACCCAAAGTATATAGTGGGCTATTGCCCGCGTTATATTTTGAGAGCGCCGCAACCGGGACGGATCCAGACAATACTGTCAAGATACACCCAACTGGCTGATTGACAGTGGGCTCTGCCTATCTAGAGGCAGAGCCAGCTGTGCCCACCCCCTCCCCCTCCCCCATCCGTTCCTCCAGTCAGCCCTGGAGGATCATAGAGGGGAGCGGGGAATCTCTGCGGGGAGCGATGACTGACGGTCACTGTTCTCTGCAGTGAGATGATCGGGAAGTGAGCAAGCGACGGTATGAGCCGGCATGTGACAGTCTCATTGTCACAAGTCGGCTCTAACTATGAGAATGATTGTAAATCACTCAACCCATAGTTCTCCTTTAAGAAAAGACCAGCAGTATCAGCCTGTATGCTAAATGTCTGTAAACTTGGTGACCTCACAATACTGGAGAGCTGTTATGTACAGCAGGGTCTGCCATTTCCCAAATATATTTAAGTTGTACCAAATAAAGGGCCTTAAAAAGTGTCACATTGTTATTTCTTATCTCTAGCCACCCAAGTTGGAAACTGCATTAGCACATGCATGCGGCTCTTACATGGCTTTTTCTATTTTCTCCTGTGCAATACGTACAGCTGGCGCTTGTACCAAATGTCTAATGCTGTCATATTTGTTCATCTCCGTGGTTGGCCAAGTCCTGGGATGCCATCACTAAAGTAGTATCTCTGGTCTGTCTCTGTAAAAGTTGCTTTAGAGTTCCTCTACTTCCATAGAACATGCACAATGTATTTGTATTTCATCCTAAGCAAAGACACATTTGGAAATACAACATGTCCACCCAGTGCAGAAAGCTCTGTGGAACATCTACTAGGCCATATCTCTATCTGTAGGTTAGCCATTATAATTAGATATTGCCTAAAATATTTTGCTACCTTTGTGTCACTACTTGCAATTGTATACATCCTTAAAGTGACACTAAACTCAGGAGTTAAAGCTTAGAAATACATTCAAGTCCCTAACCAATAAACAACAATGTATCTTATTTGTGTATCACTCGGCTGTAGATCCTCCAATCATCTCTGACACTGTCCTTCCTTCTGGAGGGGGGCTACGTCTGTTCCCCATGGTCCCCGTGTGTGTTGTAAAGTAGTCACTGCTCCAAGCTCGCTCCCGGGATGGACTACAATCTCAAAACAAATGATTAAACTAAACTGCAGGTCCTTTCCTGCTGTGGCTTCTCCTCTTAAAGGTTTTTATGTATTGACCATTAATGCGTTCAGCGGTGACTACTTTACAACACACACAGGGACCATGGGGAACAAAAGTAGCCCCCCTCCAGAAGGAAGGACAGTGTCAGCACCAATTTAGAGATGATTGGAGGATCTACAGCCGAGTGATACACAAATACGATACATTGTTGTTTATTAGTTAGGTACTTGAATGTATTTTTAAGATGTAATTCCTGACATTAGTGTCACTTTAAGTGACTCTAGTATGGTACCTGGATACTATGTAACCGGTGGCAATATACCTATATTTAACTTCAAAAAAGTAACCTGACAAGTTTGACGCAGACAAGTAAGCATTGTTAATTTGTAAGTAGGGGTGCCCAGATACCGATACTAGTATCGGTTACGGTGCCAATAGAGAATATTTGGGCGAATACTTGTACTCTCACCAAATGCTCTGATACCTTCCCCGATACCGGAACTTCTGGTCAGAGGAAGATTTCCTCTGAACAGCAGTGCGGTGGCGGGAATATGAAGCCAGCTTCCCGTACGATCAGGAAGCTGGGCGGCGAGTAGTGACCCGGCTTCCTGTTTGGCCTGTTTGAAGGTGGCTCCATGCTGATTTGCCAGGAAGCCGGCTTCCCGGCCAATCAGCATCGAGCTGGCTGATTGGCTGGGAAGCCAGCTTTTCAGCTAATCAGCATGGAGCCGGCTTCTCGGCCAATCAGGAAGCCGGGAGGCAAGTCATTACTCGCCACCCGGCATCCTGATTGGCAGAGAAGCCGACTCCATGCTGATTGGCTGGGAAGCCAATCACAATCAAGCTGGCCAAACAACATGGAGCCGGCTACCCGGGCAATCAAGAAGGCAGGCGGCATGTAATTACCCTCCGCCCGGCTTCCTGATTGCCCGGGAAGTCGGCTTCATGCCAGCGGAAGCACTGGTGTCGGTACTTGGTATCGGCGAGTACCGAAAGCAAAATCTCGGTACTTGTACTCGATACCGAAAAACCCGTATCGCTGCATCCCTAGTAAATATTATACATGACCAATTTTGTTTCATTCGGCCTTCTATAGGCTCTTAAAATATCTATGTTACTAGGTCGAAGTGATCACACTGTATTGTAATCACACAGGTCTATCTATAGAACATTCTCATAGGCACAGCATTCACATCTACTTTCATCTGCACCAGCAAGTAACATTTTCTCCAGGACACAACATACAACTTTTAATTGCCTGTGCAACCGTAACAAGGCGATATATAAACTCTACTTGCTGCCCTTTCTGCTCTTTCATGGAAAAATTGAGAGAGCCAACACGTTTTTCCAAGGCAGTGTTACCCTTTAACAGTTGGCCAATTTTTACATCTTGGGTCTCAGAGTCATATTGAAATGCGTGCCAGTGATGTCTGTGCTTTGTATCAAAAATGGAGGAAATACCTTCTTTTATCTTCCAACCTCCACCACAGAAGTAAAGGCCTAAATCTGACTGGTTGCCACGAGCAAGATATACTTTCTACCAGTTCTGATGCATAGGGCCTTAAAGAAACTCCAGCAGTAAGTTATTTCCACCAGAGTTCCAGTTCCACTCAACTGCCACAACCATTACAAAGCCAAATGCCGGCTTCTTTTTTTTTTTATATTGTAGAAGAAACAAATATTTGGGAAGGATGTCTCCGAGAGATGTATGAAGGCTGCAGGTGATTCATCTCACCTGTGGAAAAAAGAAAATCCCGAAATATCAATTTTGGGTGTAGTTGGCCTTTAACCCGAGCCCACAGAAAACCCATCATCAGTTCCATGCAGGGACAATAATTCCTGACATTACCCACTATACCTGCACGGGTGCACATTTCTACAATACACAACATATGTACAGAGAACGACAAGTTTAGGAAGCTGGCTTGAGATTTTCCGGTCTTCTGCCCGTGGCGTTAGACAGGAGGAGGCCTCGTCTCGGTTATTCGGCGGGGTGGGCGCGCACACAGACAGAACACGGGAGTGTCCCCTGGACGTCATGCATCCATACCTGGCTCCATACTGGCTCCTGACTGCATGTTCCGACCTGTTTAAAGATAAAACAGGTGTCTTTGGGCTTGCAGGTTTGGCATTCTACTTATACAGATTTACTGAGGACTAAGCTACTATCAATGATAAATAGAAGGCCTTTTTTTTTTCATAGACCGGCCTTAAATCAGACTTATAAACCACCCAAAGTGCCTGTAATATTTTTAATTCTGTATTTTTTTTTTTTATGATTAAAAGGTAGTCCAACACTTTCCTGCGCTCCAGCCTTGAAAATATATAACATACTTCATAAAAAAAGTGACACTCAATCAAAACTATTTAGGTTGAACAGTCTGGACTGAAGAGATTTAGGGGTCCTCTGCTAAAGCTGACATTTTAATGAATTAATTCTCAAGGCAAAGAGTGAGAATCCATTCGGGATGTCCATTTTGTTTTGGGCAGCAAGCCCGCTGCTGGGAATTTGCTGATGAATCTCCCATCTAAATGATCAGAATTGACTCAATAATTATCTGCAGAAATTTAAAGGTTTTTTTTTTTTCTCTTAACGTAAAACATCTTTATTTCCCGACTGTCCCGGCGACTCCACAGAGCCGGGATTCTTAATGCGAGTCGGCGTAAACTCTACCAAAACACAGGAGGCTTGACAGGCCGCCGTAAGAATGGAGAAATAAATAAATATATTGTACAATTTGATTTAATCCCGTCACTTTGTCTGACAGGATCTTGATGTTTCTGACTATGGAATCAGTATCGGGCTCCAGCAGACGGGATAAGACACGTTTAATTTGTGTCATTTTTTTCAATTTCTGTCCTTTTTTTTGACAGATGTCCTCTTATGTTTTTGCCTTTTGGGTCTAGATTAAGAAAGCAGCTGAAGCTTTTATTAGTTTTTTTTACAGCGGGAGGAGAATATACAGGAAGCGGTGGATAGTCTTACTTTACATGTCTTTGATTTTTTTTCAAGGGCAACTCGAGATTGTTATCGGTGAGTTCTATCAGAATGAACTTTTGTCTTTCGCCTTTCAAATCCTAAACTATAGGTAATGTGGCATAGCAAAAGATGGAACAATATTCAATTTGCTATATTCTAGTGACAAAATGTGTGTGAATGTTTTGTCCGCCCAGGCTGTGTCCTCTTTTACAAACATTACTCATGATAGTGTAACAAGGGCACTCGACTGTAGTCCAGAAATGCAAGTAACCTCCCCTGTTACACAAGAAGAGCCAATATTCTCATAATCCGCTTTTCTTATAACAATCCACTTATCTTCAGCATATGCATTCCTTAGTATTGCTAAGTTGCTTTTCCTCAGCTCCAAGCACACCTCTGTGATCCACTGCTCTCCCAGCAGTGTGTCCAACAGGTCCTAGGGTCACCGACCTTCTCCCAGCCTTCCCCGGCTGGTCCTTATGCGTCCAGCACGCACCTGAGTCTGCTGTGGCTTTGTGCCTCCTGCACACACACAACTCTAAAGGTGCCTATACACCTTACAATTATCGGACGATTTTCGTATGCAATCGACTTTTCGGCCGATAATCGTATGTGTTCATTGCAGTGTCCGACCGACAGTACTGTACAATCGTACGACTTTTGACGGTCAAGCATGTTTGAAAACTTTGCTAGATCGTACGATTTTCGCAAGGTTGCTGGCCGGGATCCGCCCAGCTGCGTGAGTGACAGCTGGCTCTGCCTATGTAGAGGCAGAGCCAGCTGTACCCTCCCCTGTCCCAGGGGCTGGGACAGGCGGTAGCTCGCCTCTCGGCGGACCGGCTCGATCCCAAGATCCAACTACGAGCGTTTTAACTGCAGCAACTTTAATATACGCTATTGGAGCTGCCTATCTAGAGGCAGAGCCAGCTGTACCCGCCCCCTCCCCCGTCCGATCCGCCAGTCAGTCAGTGCTGGAGGATCGGAGCGGGGGAGGGTGGAATCCAGACCCTCCCCTGTCAATGCAGAGAGCCGTGACAGGATCGAGAGGTGAGCGAACGCCGGTATGTGTTTGCTCACCTCCCGATCTACTGAGCCAACCTGTGACAGTCTCATTGTCACAGGTCGGCTAGAACTATGAGGTGAGTGAAAAGCCCCTCCCCCTCATAGTTCTCCTTTAACACAACACTGAGCACTGGGCTGGCTTCCTAATGAGGCTGCTCTCAGCCACTTGATCAGCCCAAGCTGGTGATTGGTAACACCTGGCCCCAGGACTGGGGATCTCATCCCACCCAGAGCTCTAAGGCCTGGTTCACACCTAGGCGTATTGCATATACGCGTCTGTCGCGCGTTTTTTTAACCGCGATTCGCGGTAAAAAAATCGCGCAACAAACGCGCGTTTCCGAGGGCTACTTGGCTGTATCCCAATGGAAACGCGCAACAAAAACGGCCCAAAGTAGTACATGTACCTTTTCAGGCGTGGGCCGTTTTGTAGCGCGTTAGGGACGGGCGGAAATTCGCCAAGGTGTGAACCAGACCATTGAATACAATGGGATTTAGATTTTTGAGCGTTTTGTAGAGCATTCGTCGAGCGTAGAACGCGCTACAAAACGTTCAGGTGTGAACGAGGGCTAAGAGATCTCCAGATCCCAGCTACAATTAGGAAAACCTGGAAAACCCTGAAAAGCCAGGCTTTTCCTTATAACATGGTTTCTGGACACACATTCTGGACCCTCTGAGCCCCTTTGGCTGAGTGTCCTGGGTGCCAAAGTGGCCATACTACACCGCGGCATTGCCATGCGCTGCCACAATAGATACATATAACCTAGTAGGTGGTAGAGCTTATGTTTCTAGGAATTAAGTTACCTCTTCACATGAAATGGCAATCACCCAAACTGTGGAGGTGTCCAACCCTGCCTTCCAGCCACTGGCTAGGAGGATATATGATCAAACATTTGACAATTCTGGAACTTTACAATTCTGAAAGTGTTCTGTCCTGGTCTGTGGCTCTTGCTTCCACAAGTTTGCATCTCCCGTCAGAGGTTATCCACCCCTAAGTTGGAAGTTCCAATTGTATATAATGTCCTATAGTCAGTGAAGGTTCTCATTCATCCAGGTCATGGTATATATACATGGCATGGCTTATTTTTGACAGATATGATTTCCTATTGTTCCTGTGTTTCTCAATGTACTTATTGTAAAATCTTTGTCTTGGAATCCATTAAGGCACACGTGTCCTGCCCCTCTAATTACAGGTCCTGCCCCTTACTTACTGCTCGTTTCCAAAACTGAGGCATGACAATGGGAGACGTGGTTATACAGCAGACCAGCTTTGCATTTTGTTTTGCCAGTGTTCAGAACCCCCTCCTGAAAGCAGCAGGATAACCCAGTTGTATCAGATTCCTACTGTTCCTGTGTCCCCAATGGACTCCAAGGAAAAACAAAATGATGGTAAATACAAAAATTGTATTATTTTCCTGGTTTAGGTCTGCTTATCAGACACCCAAAGGATGTACAGCGGTCCCGATTTTCTGTTTTCCACAGGTTCCTGACAGTTTACATAGTTTACATAGTATTTGAGGTTGATTAAAGACATATGTCCATCAAGTCCAACCTATTGTGTGCATGTGTATGGTCCTACTGATGTGTGCGTATGTATAGGTCCCTGTGTGATCTCATTCTTAAGAGTACCTGTACCCCTGTATATTACGGTCCCTGAGGAAATCGTCCAACCGCCTCTTGAATGATTCCACACTCTCAGCTGAAATCACAGTTCCAGACCCTGACCGATCTAATTGAGAAGAAGCCCCTTGTGCTGAAATTTTTCCTCCACCAATTTTAGGTGGTGGCCTCTCGTGCTTCTCATGGAGTTAATCCCCGGTAAACATTTTGTACATGAAAATCATGTCCCCCCTTAATCTCCTTACTTCCAATGAGAACATGTTTAATTTTAGTAGCCTGCTCTCATAACTCAGGTCCTCCATCCCCTTTATGAGTTTGGTTGCCCTCCTCCTCCAGCTCAAGGACATCCTTTCTGTTCACTGGTGCCCAAAACTGGACCGCATACTCCAGATGAGGCCGAACCAGTGATCTATAAAGTGGCACAATTACAGACTTGTCCCTGCAAAACATTCCCCTCTTAAAACAGGAAAGGACTCTACTTGCTTTGTTTACAGCAGCCTGGCACTGCTAGCTATTAATCAGCCTGTGGTCTACAATGACCCCCAAATCTGTTTCTTTTTCGGACTTCCCTAGTGGAGTTCCCATTAGTGTGTAATCCGCTTGCTTATTTTTAACCCCAAAGTGCATAACTTTACATTTATCAACATTAAACCTCATCTGCCATGTAGTCGCCCCTCCCCCTATTTTATCCAGATCCCCCTGTAGTGTGTTAATGTCCAAGTCCGTGTCTATTACCCTCCCGATTATGGTATCGTCGGGCAAACACTGAAACATGACTGTTTACCCCCCCTCTCCAATATCGTTAATTGGTGGTGGCACGGGTCCAAGGTGTTTTGTCTGATTTACATTGGAGTTACGTTACATGGCTAAATAAAATGCAAAATGTCCCTAACAGAGCAAAGACTCAAGCAAAACTACCGTCACTACTTCTACCTTTTTACTTTCTTTTAGGGGAAGAAATTATGCAGAAATATAAATAGCGTTAAAGGAGAACTATGGGGTCAGGGCTTTTCCCCATAGTTCTCCTTAGGGTAACGGGAGGACACAAACTAGCGTCCTCCTGTCACCCTAGGCTCAGTATATAGCAGGCTACAGCTCCGAGATGCCGCAGCTGAAGCGGATCCCGACAATTATGTCTGGATCCGCCTAGCTGCGTGAGTGACAACCTGCTCTGCCTATCTAGAGGCAGAGCCAGCTGTACCCGCCCCCCTCCTCCGTCCGTTCCGCCAGTCAGCGCTGGAGGATCGGAGCGGGGAGGGGGGAATCCAGTCCCTCCCCTGTCACGGCTCTCTGCAGGGACATGATCGAGAAGTGAGCGAGCGCCGGTATGTGTTCGCTCACTTCCCGATCTACTGAGCCGACCTGTGACAGTCTCATTGTCACAGGTCGGCTAGAACTATGAGGATGAGTGAAAATCACTCGCTTCA